CCAAGCTACTCCTTGGATGCAAAGATTCTGGGGCTTCGTCTGACATACTTTGGACATGTTGCCATGAGGGACGGGTCCTTGGGAAGGTTGAGGGACAACGCAGGAGGGGAAGACCCTCTGTGAGATGGATTGATTCGGTGACTGGGGTAATAGGGATGGGTGTGTCAGAGGCGGTGCGGGTGGCGCAGGATAGAGCAGGGTTTAGGGCTGTTGTGCATATGGTCGCTATGACTCTGAAAGGACTCGACGGCACATAACAAACAACAACAACAGTATTAAGGAGATATTTATATAAATGGCCAGCCACTTAATTTAGCAGGCTAGAATCTAAAAAGTTAATAATGCCCACACACACAGAAAGGAGATAGTAAGATATTATTCATAGTAGCAGTGAGCAGGAAAAGTACAATAGTACATAAGTTCAGAAGAGACAAACTGGGATCAACTTAGAATCCCAAGTGTAAAGAGATTGCCAGATACAGCTAGAAATGTACAATCTGAAGAGGATAAAATTGAGGAATGTGACCTAAAGATTACATCTTTATGTTCATAAAAAGGCTTTTCCCAACACGGTGGGGGAAAAAAACCCTACTGATTGGGAACAAATGGTTGGCAATACCATCTCAGACCGGAGTCTCAAAACAAAAGTTTATAGAATACTCCTGGGCCTCCACAAGAAAAAGACTGACAACCCCATTTCAAAATGGGCAAAATACATGGAAAGAATTTTTACAGAGGGAGATATTCAAATGGCCCAGAGACACATGAAGAAATGTTCTAAATCACTGGCAATAAGAAAGATGCAAATAAAAATCACAAAGAGATTCCATCTTACTCCAGTAACAGTGACAATGTTTAACAGGAGAACAAGTAATAAATGTTGGAGAGGTGGTGATGAGATAGGAACTCTTTTACATTGTTGGTGGGATTTTACAAAGGTACAACCATTCTGGAAGGCAGTTTGGCGTGTCCTCTCACTATTGGGCCAATTAGCAACATCCTGATGAATGGTGAAGAGATTGAGATTGTTAACAGTTTCCACTTGCTTGGCTATACAATAAACACTCTTGGTTACAGCAGCTAGGAAATTAAAAGATGAAATGCACTGGTAAAGTCATCTGTCAGAGACCTCTCCAGAGTACTGAAGAGCAACCGATGTCAGTCTGGAGATTAAGGTGCATCTAATACAGGCTATGGTCTTTGTGATCTCTTGTTATACAGGAGAGAGTTGGACAATGACTAAAGAAGATAGAAGGAGAATTGATGCCTTTGAGCTGTGGTGCTGGAGAAGAGTATTGAGAGTACCATGGACTGCCAAGAAAACAAACAAGTTTGCCCTGGAGAGGGTGAAACAAGTCTGCTCCTTGGTGGCAAGAATTCTGAAGCTTTGTCTGACCTACTTCGGACATATTGCAAGGCAGCATAAATTTTTGGAGGTGCACATCATGCATGCCTGGGAGGATGGAGGGACATTGCAGGAGAGGAAGATCCTCTCTGAGGTGGATTGATTCAGTGACTGGAGTAATGGGGAAAGATGTGTTGGAGACAACAATATTGGCACAGGATAGAACAGGGCTTCGGGCTGTTGTACATAGGGTCGCTACGAGTCACAGGCAACTGAACGGCACATAACAAAAACAACAACACCTTTATCTTGTTTTGATTCTCGAGTATTTTATAAATTCTAGGTATAAGTCCCTTTTCTGACATTTCTTACCGAATATTTTCCCCCCCAATCCGTGGCTTCCCTATTTACCCTGTTGGAGAAGTTTTTGGATGTGCTTAGTGATTTGATTCTTAGTAGGTCCCATTCATCTTTTTTTTATCCTCTCCTTTATATAGGTTTTTCAGATGCTTCATGCATCAGGACAGTTCATGTTGTGAATTAGAATTTCTAGAGTTCTTCCAAGTTTTTTTCTGGTGAAGTTTATAGTCCTTGGTTTTAGTGTAGGTTCAATAACTAGACTACTTTGAGTTAGCTTTTGTGTATGGTGTGAGCTGTGGATCTTCCTTGAGTTTTCTGCAGGTAGTTCTTCAATTCTGCCAACACCATTTGTTTAAAAAGGCCATAGTTACCCCACTTAACTGTTTTCATCTTCTTGAAAAAAAAGAATAAATCTTTATTTCATATCTTGAAAGCATGTATTTATTTCAATATTCAAAATTTTGTTATTTCAAGGTATTCATATACCACAATTTGTTCAATTTTTTTCTTCTTAGTCACATTATAGATTTAGTTATCATGAAAAGTCACTATCAGATTGAATATATAGAGATCTGAAACAAAAGGCATTCATTTCTTTATGATGACACCACCAAAACTGGGAAAACCACAAACTGGCAAATTTATGTCACCACAACAGGGTGGGATGTTTTGTGTTGTTTGTTGTTTATTCATTTGTACAGAGATACTTGATGAAAACATTTACACACACACACACACACACACACACACACACACACACACACACAATTGCTCTTTAGCGCTTTTCTTTTCTCCCCATTTCCTGACTTACTTTCATTCATTTCATAATGCATATCCTCTGTTTGTCAACTGTAAGACACATAATGTGTGATAATACATTTTAGATTGACTTCCCCTTCACTTATCTCAGCACATAGTTCCTTATCTATCTATTCCCTTTGTGTGCTTCTCATCACCCTTCCCACAATCATCGTCATCATAATGTTGTCATTACAGTAGTCTTTTACAGTTTTTTTTTCCTTTTCGTACTGAACCATTTCACTCAGAAATATGCTTCCAGACTTATCTCTCTTGTGTATGTAGTGTTTCAAATGTTCCTAGTTTTTCAGTGTTGTATACACTCCTTTGAGTGGATGTGCTATAAATTCTCTGTCCAGTCATTTGTTATTGGGAATTTGAGTTGCTCCAATTTCTTTTCAATTGTGAATAAGGTTGTAATAAACATGCAGGTGCACGCATCTGTTTGTGTCACAGCTCTGGTTTCTTTAGGGTGTATTTCCAGTAGTGGGATAACTGGATCAAATGTTGTGGTTTTTGGTTGTGGTGTTTTGGGGTTTTTTTCAACATTTTGAGGAAGCACCCAACTGCCTTCCATAGTGCTATATCATTTTACATTTCCACCAGTAGTACAAGAGAGTTTCAACAATCTTGCATTAATCTTCACCAGTATTTGTTGTTTGCTGCCCTGTTGAACTTTGCTCTTGTTAAAGGAGGGATAGGATATCTCTTTGTTGTTTTGATTTGCATTTCTCTTAATAGTAACCTGAATTATGAAAATGCTACAATTTTCCTTATTAAAAAGAAGAAGGACCTGATGCCTTTATTGCAGACGATCAAAACCTACAGTAGTCTTTTTCCTTGTTCTTGCTTCTCTTCATTTTAATGCAAGTTTCTGACCTCAATTTTTTTTTACTCTTTCTTCCATGTATTTGTACTAAAATTTTGCAGAAAGTGAAGAACATTTTTAGTACTTAGTGCAGAAAATCAAAGATTGCAATCTTCGATATGTGTTACATCTCAGGATCAAGAAAACAAAATACTCATCATGGGCCAATAGGCAAAATCACAAAAATGAAGAAAAAGTTGAAGCTGTCAATGATTTCAAATTACATGGATTCACAACCAATACTCAGGGTGGCAGCAGTGAAAAGGCAAAAGATGTATTGCATTTGAAGAAATCTGATGTTAAGAATCTATCCAAAATTCAAAAGAATAAGGAAGTTAATTTAAAAACAAAAGGTTTCTTGATCCAAGCCATGCTATTTCCAACTGCTTTTTATACATGTGAAAGCTGAATAAAAATAAGGATGAAGGAAGAACTGATAACTTGGAACTGTAGTTGTACTATAAACTGCCAAAAGAACAAACAAATCTGCCTTGAAGAAAATGCAACTAGAGTGTCTTAGAGGCAGGGAGGGTGACATTGCATCTCATTTAATGCAAATTTTCAGGAGCAACAAGTCCTTGGAAAGAGACATCATGCTGGGAAAAGACACCCCTCCCCACCCACTCCAGACAGAATGGCACAGTGACTGCCTTAAAGGACTTAAGCCTAGCAGAGACTGTGAGGATAAGGCAAGGTTCATATCTTTTGTTCATAAGATAAGTATGAGTCATAGATGACTTATTGGTACCTAACAACAAGAACAACATAATGCGTCATTAAAATAGTATTATAAGAAACCATAAGGCTAGAAATTATTCTGAGGTGTTCTCATGGATAGCTATGAATCATCATTAACACCATGAAACCTCACAACAACAGCAAACTTCAGGTGATACTAGAAGTACAATTCTGTGTCACTCATTGAAATATTGGTCTGAGAATTAAGATTCTTTTTAGTGCATAGCCTGCAGTCTCAAGGCACCCACACCAGGATTTGTTGAAATTTTATTGGGATGAGAAGTACATTTCATAGCTTCCCAGAACCCTGCCAGAATCCAAAATGGGACAACAGAAGTACTTCTCTTAGAGTTACTCATCATCTTTGGACCTGAGGAGACCTGGATGAAATCCTTACACTTTCTGAATAGCACAATCAGTGATAGGCTCTAGAGCACATCTAGATGGTCTCTCCACCAAGCAGAGTGGACAAGCAAACTGGTGGTGTTGTGTTAAGATCGTTGTCTTCAGAGAGTTTTGGGACAATGCAAAAAAGGCGTACAACTTTAACAATCTAGAGTCATGCATTCTCTGTTCCTTTCTTGTTTTTCTCAGGATAGAAGCTTCTTGAGTTTTTTAATAGTCAGCTGTTTAAATATGCAAATCACATAAGTTCTATTGAGCTACATAATAATAGATCTGTGCTCATCTCATTATCAACCTTCCCTCTAGAGTCCACTAAGAATACATACTCTTCATCATGGACTGCAAAGGGACAATCTTCATTTTGATGGCCATGACCACAGGTAAGATGCTTTTCAGATCCAGGACAGAGGATATGAAGGTGCTTATTCAAGGTGCATTTCATTCATTCTGTCTCCTTTCAGTTGGTATTCATTCTGAGGTCCAACTAGTGCAGTCTGGGCCTGAGTTGAAGAAGCCTGGCACAATAGTTCAGATCTCCTGCAAGGCTTCAGGATATATTTTCACCAACTATTACATGAACTGGTTGAGACAGATTCCTGGACAAGGACTTGAATGGATCGGAAATAATAAAGGCTACTCAAAGAAATTCCAGGACTGAGTCACCGTGACTAGTGACACCTCCAGGGAAACAGCCTACATGGAGTTGAGAAATCTAAGATCTGAGGACATGGCCATATATTACTGAGCAAGAGGCACAGTAAGTTAACCACATCCTGAGTGTGGTAAAACCAAGAAAAAAGTAGGAATCTTTATCACAGTTAGGGGGAGCAAACAATCCAGGTGCCAATTTCCTTAAACAATTGAGGAAATAATCCACTTTAAATTTGCAATAACTATTAATTAAATGAGGAGAAAATGGAACCTGACATATGCTTAACATGTAAATTAATATTAATTATTTTAAAACTACTAGAGCAATACATTTTCTGAGAATTGTCAA